TAACGTGTATCATAATTAAAAATTTCACCTGGAGAATTCCAATTATAATTTTCCTGGCCAAAGCGAATTACTTCATCTATTTCTTCAATTTCATGCTTCAATAATTCAAATTCCACAGGCAAAATATAATTTCTTATCCAATTATACCTATCATTTGAACAAATGTATGTAGATCGAATTATTTCTCATCATTTAATGATGCGTTTACTCACCATTGCACGACCAAATTGAGATTGTAAGTACTCTCAAAAAAATATTGCATTCTGTAATATAATTGAACCGCTTCCTCAGTTAGGTCCGTCCTCTTCATGGTGATCATAAAACGAATTTCTCGCAGTAAAGCAGTCAGTTCCAGATCAAAATTTAAATCGAGTAGCTTATTCTCGTGAACTGTTAATAAACTTTTTGACAAATGGACGTTGCTTGTATCGACTACCTTGTTGGCCCAGTCTGTGAATATTTGGTGCTCCATCGCGTCCATGAGTGACTTATAAATACACAATATGTATTTTTATTAACACAATTCAAGAATCAAACAAATGCATCATATAACATACATGGTTTAAAATTTATTTTAAGTGAATTTTTAACAAACACATTAGCGTAAATAAATGCATAACTAATGAATCAAGCGACACTTAATATGCATTGTATTATGAAACTTTAAGATGTTACAGTAAATATTACGGTATACTATAGTATGAATCTACGTAAGTAAATAAAAATATGGAAAATAATCAAATTAAATAACGATGAAATCCAACGTTGCTTTTTTCATGGCTTTTTGCTGGAGCTTCATGAAATATTACCTGCAGTTGATCATACTTTGGCTTAGTCTCACGTGCTATTCTGAGATTTATCAAAGGATGGTCAACTAATTTCGCACATTGCATCGGGTAGTCTATCCGTTGCCGCAATTGCGTTAACGTACACAATGCACCAGCGACATGCGGGAAATACTGATCGGTTTCAATCCACTCGTCCTCCTTATAGTCTTTGAAGATACTGTCAAAAATGACCTGAAAAAGGTAAATGGAGTCTATCTAAGGCTCATCATCTATCATTATGGCTATATTATGTCTATTAAATATCAATATTGTAGTGTACTTTAATATCATCGAAATGACTATGAATTCTTTGAAGCAATCTCTCGTAATTGTGCCATAATTGTGCCATGATGATTGGTCGATTGGCCATTGAGCCTAGAATCCATATTGCTTTAAAAATAGTTTCAGTATTGTGACATTCAGAAAGCACTTGATCGAATATATTTGCCAGCTCTCTGTCAAACTCTTCCACCTATGGTAAATAAGTCAACCAGTTTTTACATTGCAACAGTAATCTCATGTTATATGAGTGACGTTGATTATAGCGTGTACAATTTAACACGATACACGATCATTGTGCTTACCTTTACTAAAAACGAAGTAACATGATCTGTGAATCGTATCTCTTCCGGCATCAGAATATCATAGTCCAATTCGGCAAATTCATTGTAAATTTTGATAAATTTTTCATGAATATTATATATCTTGGAGCATAATGATTTCTTTTTTAAACTCGCAAATTCCATTCTTTCTAGCTTAAAATATTCTTGAGCCGTCTCAAATAGGATCTGACAAATAAAACAGAATAATTAATTATAATCATTTATATACAAACTATTTTGTATTTTCAGATTTTGCTATTATATAAGTATGTGTGCACACATACATTTATATATACAGCACAATATTTATGTATATAGCATGATATTTTGAAACTATTAAAAATTTTGAAATTTTTTTATGTACGAGGTAACTCATTTGCGCGACAAAATTAATAAGAACAACGTGCGAGTCCAATTGTGAAAAACTTGACACTTATTTTAAAAATCAGATTACAAACTTTAATCTCTCCCAAACGTTTCTGAAAATTTGTTATTCTTCCAAGCACCAACTCGTCGTCAAAATTCCATGTAATTAGTTCGGTCGGATGTTTAAAGTAATTATCCAATTTACTTCGAAACGTGTCAAACATTTCTGTATAATAGGCCAAAACATTTGTCACATGCAGTAAACGTTTCTGACTATCCTCGATATCGCCAGTAAACAAAGTACTCTGCTCCAGATATTTAGCAGCCTGCGAAGTTTCTGGTTAGTAATACAATAAACATTTATATGTTGTTAGATAAGAAGGAAATGGTTTAACTCATTAGTACTCGATATCTTTATTAAAAACGCATGCGTAAAATTTACATCTGCATGGAAAAGTTGGTCGAGTGGTATTCTTATGTAAACATAAAGGTATAGGCTAGACATGCAAATATTAGGAAAGTATTAATTTGGGCTCAGGCACGTTTGCATAATTTGTAAAAATCACACAATAGAAATCTTCTTTGTTTCAAAATGAAGATAATATTACTCTCTCGAAAAATATAAATTAACTTGTAATTATGCAGAGAATATCTTGATTGCTCGCGTATCTCAATATAACAAACACCTTTTTTTTCTTACCTCGGTAATTAACAGATTAGATATTTCGGATAATAATGTGATTATTCGTGTTGGGATGCAATAATATTTCGAATTTGACCATATTAGACACACGCAGTGCAGCAGTGGTTTTAATTTCGGCTGTATGTCTTTGAATTCAGTATTTTGTATATCTTCGAAATGAGGTTCCAACGCTTTTATGTAAGCGCATATGTCACGTGCTTCGATCACCGCTTAAGGTACAAACGAAAAAAACTTTTAGATCGTGCAATTTTAGCGTGATGTGATTTGATGACGTAATTTTTGGAAGAATAATGCATTAGGATGAGGCAGCGATTTTCGCTCTAATCGACATCATTAATTAATACTTGTAATGTATCGTTCGACTAACGCTAGCAAGATCTAACCAGCGATAACGTCCTTCAACAGAGCCTTGAAACGCGGTGAATAAGGGCTCTTGGTTACTTCTAGAATAGATGCCATCTTTTTTACTCGTAGGTCCCTCATTTGACTGTGAATAGACTCGACGTTTGCAAGTCGTTGACACCAGAAATCAATTTCTGCAAGTATGTACATTGTTACGAGTTAACGTTTCTTCAATTCTCAATTTCTTTCAATTAAACTTGATGAGAAATTTGTGACTTGGTAAAGTAAAAAACGTATCGTTGCTTTGCTTTTTTGCGTTGTGTGTGCATACAAAAATATACAAATTATATTGTATATTAATAAATAACGTATACGTGAAAAGAAAATTTGAATAATGTTTCGAACGTTAAAAAAATTCGCTTCTATTATGATTTAAATACTGCAATACCCGCACTCGGTAGCAACTGCTTATCATTTCTTGGACTTTCCTCGTTTAACGTATCGCCGATTTGCGAGCACCATTTTGTTACAATAGTTTCTATATTGCTTTTTAAAGGAAGATCGACCTCAATACCGGCACTCCGCTGTGCTTTCCATTCCGCCTCAAATATCTGCTCGATACCCATAGGCATCGGTAATAAGGTTTGTCCCATCATCTTACCTTTGACCTGAAAGAGATAAGGCACTTTTTTTCGATACTTTGTACGGCTGATAAAGATGCTATTTTTCTTCCATTTTTAAATTTAATATTTAACTGATACCGTGGGAGTTTGAAGAATATCTGTTAATAAGAAAATCCTTAAAACAAATTCTTTTATTAAAATAAAACAAATGACATTTTTTTAAATATTTCATTTTATGGGTTATATAAAGTTGCTTCTTCTTGTACCTGGCATATCAAATTACGAAGATCGTAAACGTGCTTTTTCATGTCCTCACCGATAACGCGCGGCCAACCCTTGTGATTCTTCGGATTCGATAATATCGGTACATAAGCCTAGGTAGAACGTTTGTGTAAGAGTCAATTCCTTTTAATGAATGCGAACGATATTTAATTCGAATGTACAATCGTGCTACCTCCTCAACCAAAACGGATAGTTCCTCGATAGGTTTCGTCGAAGCCATGTCGCCGGGTATAAGGACGTTCCTGTAATTTTCTTTCGTGATCTCAACAGGGTTTTTTTTTATAAAATACGATGTCTTTATCGAATCTGTCGGTGGTATCTCGAGAAACGGCACCAACACGCCGGCCGGATTTAGTTGTATTACGAGAATCATTTCCGACGGTGTGTCCAAGAATTTCATAATTGTCTCCTAACATTTTCGTATTACAAATAAAATATATAGTGAACGATTTACTTGCTTAACAAAAATTACTTTACGATTGCTTTAGCGCAAATATAGAGAATTTCAATTTTCACAGACCGAAAAGTGCCTTTAAAGTTATTTCTTTTGCCTATATCTTTTATTGATAATGATTCAAATATCGCATTTTTTCCATATACGCTTAATAAACTAAAGTTATTTATACATAAGAAAGGCAGATGACAAAGAAGAACAATATAATTTAGAATAAGCGCAGTGTAAGTCACATAAAAAAATTCAATATAGTTTTCGGAGAACCTACTTTATATGAATAATAAATAGTTGATAGCACAGATTTGGATATTAATTTTATTCGTTTTATGATTTTATGATCTTGTCGTTAAAGAATCTTATTGCATACATTTAGATTGAATGTAGATTAATTTCTTGGCAATAAAAATATATAACGGCTCTGTTAAAGCTATAGAAATTGTTTTAATAGAAACGTTTCAAATGGTGGCGGTGAATGATATCATTTCGCACAAGCTATTAAGCTTAGCTTTAGATTAAGGTTAGGCTTTACATTTCGAGGAAAATATTATACCTTGTATTCCTCGTTTGTTAACATCTTTATCCATTTGTCTAGTTTAATTTTCCTCGAAAGGACTAAATATTTACAGAGAAATTCAATACGCTCGTCATCCTCCTTTTTCTCCTCATCTTTTTTCTCAGCCATTTTTTACATTTACGAGATAAATTCGTTATCCTGAACGCTATTCAACTGAGCAATTTGAACGTTGCCGATTTGTTTTGACAGACAAGTTTTTTTCGAAATAAGGAAAAGAAAAGACAAGCTGAATATTCACGTTTTATTCAAGCACGTATATATTCAGAATGTTATATTATTCGAGAGCAGAATATGTATATAAAAGTATAAAATTGGCTAAAGCGCATCGCAAGATAGGAATTGAAACAATAAATGCTGCATAGGCTAACAACGAGTACACGCATAGCTTCAGACTAGATATCGTAATAACCATACGTAACAACACCACAAAGTCGTTTTAAATTATTAAAATTACGTCACGTTTCACGTTGCTGAGTCACTGAACGGAGTCTCGAGTCGAAACGAAAAGCGATCCCGTTATAATTCACTGATAATTTCTGGCCAGACTTGTTTCTCTATCCACTCCAGGTAGGAATACACCGCTGTATACACTCCCGGTATAGGTCCCCCACAGTTTTGCCCAAAAGCCGTGACTCCCACGATGCTCTGACTAGGTCCGGCGAGCATCAACAAAGGTCCACCGCTATCTCCGTGACAAGCGTCCGCTCTTCTTGAGACATTGGTATCCAATACGCACAACATATTATCGTCTAAACCTTGGGGTAACTTGCTAAAGCCGTTGAACGATTTTCCGCAAGATTCTCTGTCTACGAGACTGGAAATTGGAGTGTAATTTTCATTGTAAATTTATTTATATTTTCAAGGTAAAACCGCGAAACTACTAGTTCGAAATAAGAAATTCAAATGTTAGTAAAAGAATTTCAGTAAACAGAGTCATTGTTAAGAAATGTATTACGTTTTGTATTCGCACCTGAGACTTGGTGTCTTCATCAATTTGGTACTGCCTTCCTCGTCGAAGTCGGTAGCGCCCCAGCCAATTACGATAAATGTTGCGTTCGATTGTTCATTCATGGAGTCTAAAGATTTCGTTTGGATACAGATCGGCCGTACGTTGCTAGCCGTTTTTACGGGCTTAGTTAATTTCAAAATAGCCACGTCGTTGTAATTGACGCTACGCTTATATTGCGGATGCGATATTACGTTGCTTATGCGAATTCGTTGAGCATCCTCAACGCTCCTCAGATCTTCGCTGCCGACTCTCACCTAAGAACAAACCAAACCTTGTAATCTTTAAACAACGGGTAAGATCCGATAGGTCTGATTCGATAGAATTTAGTTGGTAAATCATCAAACGATCGAAGAAATACTTATGCGTCGGCTCGGAACTCATGAATTGATGACACTTAATACTCTTGGCTACATCGTATGCAAATATCGCACACTCGCAGATGAAAATTGAAAAGACTATTCGCACGATTAAAGTCTTTTACGCGAATCTAGTCTCTCTTTCTCATTTGTCTTATCTTTTTCTCTTCGAAAGAAGAAAACCGATCACTTTCGCTCGAATCGATCGCAGATATCTCGACGCGGTCGGTCGAAATGAATCGCGACCTTGAACTTGGAGCTCGCTATTACTTACCTCTATCGGCACTTGCTCCTGTACATTATTAACGCAGTGCGCAGCGGTCAGCACGTATTGCGAGGAAATTAACGTGCCACCGCAGTTGTACTTGATAGCTTCCGAATTGTCGTCGTCCTTGTCTTCGTTCTCGTACCCTAGAGCAACCATATACGGGAATTCCCCGCGTTCGGTTTGCATGCCGCCGTATATGTTGAACTGCACCTCAGCCGTGTCCTTTCTCGCCTTGTCGTTGGTTCCGGTCCCAATCTCGTTCTCGTACTGGCGACATGCTAAAAGTCCAGGCGCACAGCGCGCGTTAAAGATATATCTTTCGCTTTCTAAAGGACGTAATCGATCGAACGCGGAACCGACTTGTCCGGATCTATGGAACCGTAACCGTGACCGTAAAGCCATGACGATTATTACATCACCGTGCGCGTCTCCACCTCAAGGCCGTTCGTTATTTAAACGAGATTCTCGGAAACGATCGTGCAATTTACGCGCGCGCGTTAACGAGATGCATTAAAAGAGTGATAAATACGATAAACATTAAAATAGCTGCGTCGCTGACATTTATACGGACGCGTTTGAGTAAACGATATTTCGGCTTAAAACCGTACGAAGCGACATAACACGACAGTGCTAGTGACAAAACGTATTAACATCTCGTCGTAGCATTTCGTCTTCTTTTCGATAAAGAAAATAAGACCATTATCCAAAATTATAGCAGCTAGTTGAAAAACCTGTTTCTGAATAAAGATGGAATTTTTATCGATCTTACAGAGTATAATCGTTGGTCGATCGGCTCTCATCGCTCGTCTCTTAAAAGCTATCTCTCGCTCGAGTGACACAATAATGTGTAAAGCGATCAATTTTAGTCTACAAAATGTATTCTACATTTGGTGGGACATGACAAAATAACATCAAGTCAGTTCATGACATTTTGAGGGAATAGCTTTAGTGTGCGTAATTTAGTTAGTACAAAACTCTGTCGCAACTTTTCAATTTTCCAATTACTATGAGCTACGGCTATTCAAGTATTCAAGGAGAGAGAGAGAAAAAAGAAGAAAAAGAAAAATGATATAAATACCTATCTCTGCTGGTCGAAGCCCTATCTTATCCGTAATATTGAACTGACAGCAAACGATTTCCGTGAAGTCCTCAAAGCCGCAACGTCCCAACGAACTCGAACTTCTTCTACCTTCCTTTACCTCTTGTAGCCTGGATGGACATTCGTATATCTTTTTGCACACGCCTGCCTTGCCGTCCTCCGTTTTGCAGTAACTGCCCTCTGTGTCAACCAAGACAATTTCGATTTAAGATTATATTTCGCTCGCGCGTATCGCTTCATAAACAATCGTGAGGGATTTTCTCCACAAGGGAAAATCCAGCTCAGGTCGTTGAAACTAATCTATGCACGACCCGCACTTTTACTTATGCGTCAACCAGTCCGACCTACAATGTTCATTCTTTTCTCATAAAATCACACGCTATTTTCCAATGATAGAGTTTATTTGCGTACCGTACGGTATAAAGAACATCCCGGACTAAAAGAATAAGAGAGAGAGAGAGAGAGAGAGAGAGAGAGAGAAAATTAATTACATATGTAAATACTGCGTCACTGTCCGGGGCAGTAGCGGAGAAAAACAGTCGCGTCACACAACGATTCAGTCGCGAACGTTGTCCACGACACCGCAACGTTAATTGGAACCAGGGAATATTTTGTAGAACTTACGGAATTGTATTAAACCACAATTGCAAATTCTCAATAATGTATAGTATTTTATAATAAATTTGCAATTAATTTTTTATTTAACGAATCTGTCGTAACATCTACAGTTTCCCAACGAAACAGTAAATGAGAAAGATATGTTTCGTAAACCAAATTTCGGAGGAAATATTAAAGTTATATTTCTCGATTAATTACATATGGATTAGAATGCAAAATTTAATTACAAAAATATCGAATGTTAATTATTGGAAGGCTACTCTTTATTTTCTCGAAAGAAAAATGAGCTTTAAGTGGCTCATAGAATCTGTTAAAATTAAGATCGAGTTAATGGCTATATCACTAATATATTATAAAAGCCAAGAAAACTTGTCGATGGTAAGAAGGAAATGTAGGTAAATACGAATCAACATCTAATTTGTCACTTTGCTATCACGCATATTAACATTATAGTCCTAAAGTGTGCGTAATCATATAACACGAGAAATAAATCATCATTTTTGTGATAGAGAATGGGTTAAGAGAAAATAAATAAGTGTGTAGTTGCGATAACGATTCACCCCGAACTCCACTTCGTGACGTTTATCTAGTCATAACTTCGGAAGCAGGTCAATGGTAGTTATTCTGTAAAGATTGCTTCATTCTAATCCAATTCTTCATAATACTTTCGGTAATGTATTAAAAATTCAAGTATCAAACTTGATCTGTTAATCCTGGAACGCACGAGTTGTTTTCATTACGTTTTACTCGTAAACAGTAACAATAATGGTAATAATAATAAGAAATAGCATGTGTCACGCGTAAAAGCTCAGATATTTTTCGAAGAAGTATGAAAAACAGAGTTTCAAATATAAAAATGTTTAATGTCCTTATTAATTTTTCTATTGGCTTAATGTATTTGTTGATATTCATATATTTCATACCGAAAAGTTCCTCTTCCACTGGTAAGCCATGTGTAAAAACTTTGAACAAAAGGACGATGAGAATCAAGTTGAAATCCATCTTCAGTACACGATGATTTATAATGTTAGACACATTAATTTGACTTGACGCTAAAAAGGATATTCACATGTACAATTCACACTTATAGTCGATAGAAAAACTTACTTATAATATTTTAAATTTAAATCTCAGAAAGTTAATTTAACTTATGTACTGTACACATATACAATACACAAGTAATATTTTTAACCAGTTATACTTTGCATTTAAACAATACTCATGTAAATTTATTTTCTCGCATTTATACGATATTCGTGTAAATTTATATATGTATATGTATATAAACGCACAACTTGAAAATTTACTAATTGACTTAATAGATAAAAAGAGAAGAAGTTTGGAAATGTATTATAACTATATAAATACCGATTCAAGTTTTTGATTTTACAATTATTTTTAATTATATATTTTTTAATGATAATAATTAATCAAAGATTCTTACGGATAAATTTTTTATTTGAGTGGTTCACTGCCTAAATAGATGGCTTATTTTCAAAGACATCAGATGATGTTTTCTTCCAGAAATTTCGACTCTAATGATGTAAAAAGAAAACTAGTACTTGTCGCGACGCGCTACTAGATTTGCGGCTCGAAGTTCGAGACTCGACTGGCGACTCGACTGGCGACTCGGCTGACGACTGACGACTGACGACTGACGCCACGCGATGCGAATGTGATCCGGTATAGTCATCACAGAAGCGGTAGAAATGTGTAGAAACACTGACGCCCGTACGGGAGCTTTGATCACTATCGTATATTGCGCGCAACGCAACATAAATCACGCGACGTTCCACGAATGTCGCATGTGTGGTTTGCCCAATTCGTAATTATTTCACTATTCTCTACATTGTATGTATGTATGTACATATATTACGCGGGTAAAGTACCTGTGCATCACGCATGATGCACGATGCACTCGTTCGAGCACTCCCTTATGACTCATTATTTTAAAGCGTCAAAATAGGATTTTTAAATACACAAGCTGATCCTTTCATCAAAATTATTTTATACAAATTGAAGCTGCACCCTCCTTTTTTAAACTATACATATAAGTACTTGTAAAATTAAAAAATTTTTTTAAGAGATATTCATTTATTTTGCAATTTGTTTTTTTTCAAATATGTTTTTGGTACTTTTGTGGCAATTATATTAGGCGATTTTTTGCGATTGTTTGCTACATATGTGTGTATCAAGGTGTACCAGAGTGTACACTTGACGTGACGAATGCTTTTACATCTGAAAATAGTCGTTAAGTTCAATATATTTCGATAGAAAAATTCATTTTATTAAAATAAATTTTTCTCTTGGATACCTTGAGCGTCTTCCTTCAGATATAAAGGTATTCGTGAGGCTGACAATGAGTGTACAATCTGGTACACTTTGGTATATGTACCAAACAGTCGCCAAAAAATCGCCTATGGTCACACATTCCGCTAAAAATCCGTTCGAGTTCAAGACCACAGATTATTATTTCGGGACACAGACGTATACAGACACACACGCATACACGACTCGAATAGAAAAACAGCCCGACAAATACATGGATGGAAAAACAAACTCGAGTCGGATGGTAATTATTAAACGAATTCGAAGGGCTTGAGTTTTTCGAAGGACACGATGCCCGCCGACGGATTCCGGGAAACGAGATCTGCCAGAGGCGGATTCGACTGGTGGACTCGGTAGCGTGCGGACGCGTTAACGATTGTGACTCGCAACACTTAGAAGATTTATAGAACTTATAATAAATTACTACAACATGCCTCAGTGGTTGAATTGGTGAGACGCCCGCCTAGAGAGTAGGCCAAGTTGAAACCCTGGCTGAGGTAATATCTTTCGCAATAAATTTTCTGTATTAAAACATTGGGTTAATGGGCCAGTTAATGTCGACTAAACAGCTTGATTATTAAAATTACTACAGTGTTCTTAAACTGACATGCAGTAACTCTTGCCTCTATTCCATCTGATTTTCCTGCGCGCATAGCACCCAAACTTTATTCACATATTGGTAATTTACATTGGAGACGCTCGCCTAGAGTGTAGGGAGGTCCAGGTTCAAACCCTGACTGAGGTAATACTTTTCGCAATAAATTTCTTTGTTTAGAATTTGCCAGTCGTGTCGAATATTAATTTCTTACAAAACATTTTGCCAGTGTTCACAAGATGAATAAATTAATAAAATTAAAAGAATATGCTATTATATAGCAGACTACATTCTTTTTCAGTCATACGTATACATCTCTATCAAACATGAAAGATTGCGTTCAAGCATCAGAAATTTGATTTACAATGATTTTAATGAATATTTCAATTGAAAAAAAAAACGCTTCATCGTCAACGTGCGTAAAATGAATTGGACTTAATTATATATACCAATATGTGAGATACAAAAATTTATTTACATAATATAACGTACTAAATTAAGATTGCATTTTTCGGAAAAATATCTGGAGTAACACATCACTTAAATCACACTAATCTAATAATCCTCTTCTAGTATGCATTTCTCCACCAGTTCCCGTAAATTTGGATTTTCCATTGCAGCTGCTATACGTTCCTTGTCATTAATTTGTTTATTAACTGCAATTTAATACGTATAATGAAAAACAAGCTACATGTTATTTCAATACTGGAAAACTGCGTGCGATGCAAGGGCATACATACTTTCCTGTTCAGTGGAGTGTGCACCTCTCTTGATATAAATATCTAATTTAAATAACGCCGATAAATGACGTTCTAATTTAATGCGGATACATAATCCTATGAGGGTTGCCAATGAACAGTGAGGCACTGTAGGATTAAACTCGACACGAATTACAGAGACTCCTCCAGGTGTGCTGTGACAAACTTTTATGCAATCTTCATAAACAACATCCAATTGCTCCAAGGTTTGCGGTTTTTCAGGGTCCTTGATCGTCCTTAATAAGTCTGAAAAGTAAAAAAGGATGGAATATAAGTGAATATAAATGGTCAGAATCTGCGCGTGAAAAATGTCAGTAATTATTGGATCGTTTTAACAAGCGCAAGGACCAAGTCGCACCACCTTTCTGACACTGGACATTGAATATCCGAAAACTCGCGCGAAACAATACACAGATACAGCGCAACACTTGCCATAAACGGATTCTTTTAATTCGGTGTCGGTCTTCAACGTTTGATTCTTTGCTGTCAAGAGATCCTCTGCCGTCCCCATGACTGCCTCCGGCAGTATACCATCCTTTATTTTTCCGCCAATTGATAACTTTCGGAAAAAGGACAGCATTTTTATTAACGATAATAACAAGAAGAACATAACAGCATGTTGTGAATTACGTCATCTGCATTCGCGAAGACGAGCGACGGAAGACGAGCTAGGATAATGCAGCATTCGGGACGTGCGTTACGTATTACGAGCTGTTTACGTGCCGAAGGGCAGTGTCGACAACGTTTTCTCTTAATATTTAAATTTCCCAAAAGCCTCTCCGTGGTGTCACAAACGTGACGCATAAATTCCCTAAACGGCTTTTGGATCCTGCGCATGAACTAGCCGTTTTTCTCTGGTTACTGCACAATCAATCCGGCACCAAGAGGGCCGCGACGATAGATTCCCCTCACCCTTCGGAGCAACTCCCCGCATCCATATGACTCTAGACATTTCGCTTTGTGTGTCTCAGCCTCTCAGGACAGGACTCGGATCTGTCAGAGAGGATCAGAGAGGATTGACAGTTTGACACTCGTGTTTGGCATGTGTGAAATGAGTTAATTAAACACGAAGATAAAGGATAAACCAGAGGTCTTGTACACATCAGTGTATACACGATGACGACGCGAGAGATAAAGAGGACGAAGAAAAAAAGTGCACAGAAGGAAAGTGTAACTCAGGAGGAAAACAAAGCGGAAAAACCGACCGAGTCCGTCAAGTCGTGAGTATAGAATTAATCTCAAGTTAATGAATGAAACGTACAAATACAAGAAATATGCTCTGCCTCTCTAGCTCCTCCGTTGTCATTAAAATACTAATTGTAGAAGTGAGAAATGAAGATTAACAGCTACCACTTTCTATCTCGTAGGAAATATGGACCTATTGTATCTTTTCCATATCAAAGGGTATGGTCCAGGTGCGTTCTGATACTTGGAGTCTTGCTAATAGTTTGGTATAATAACAGACAGGGCAAAGAAGTATATCTAGCAAAACAGAAAGACGTACTGGTAAGTCGTACACAGAACGTTGACTGCTCTGTGGATTATAGAGACGAGTTAGAAAAATACCCGGGCTGTGCACCAGAAAAATGTGGCAGAGTTGTAACTGACAAACTCGTCTCGACAACAGAGGCAGATGTTTTATTGAAAGTAGCAAAAAATGGGTTAGATTTGGCTGGATCTGATGGCGGGGCCAGTATCCTGGATCTTCATTCCGGCGCTCTTAGCAAGGGCCAGGGTTTTATCAATATCTATAAACAACCAGAAGCAAAGAAAATATTCAACAGTATGGATTCGGCAATTTATAAGTATGAATTTTAAATACCTAGAGGAAAGTCTCCTATTGTTAGACAGGCTTTTAATATACAATAAGATAGCAAAGTTTCTGCTAAATTAATAGGCATCATTTGTTGGTTCCTAGTGTTCCATAAAAAGAACATTTTATTCAACGTTATGAAATATATGTTCTTCCTTAACTTATAGGGTAGTGAAAACAAAGATACAACATGCGGTGGCGCATAATTTTGGCATAGATGTAAATAAGATCTATTTGACCAAACCTAGCTTCTTCTCACGAATGACTAATAAACCTGCAAAAACCATACACGATGAATACTGGCATCCACATATCGATAAGGTTTGTCTCGTGACGTGCCGCAACCTTTAATAATCAAGAAACTTTGTTTGGTACTATATAGAATTACAATATAAAACTATATATTTTAGGAAACATATGAATCGTTTCATTACACATCGTTACTGTATTTAAATGATTATAGTAAAGATTTCGAAGGCGGTAGATTTATATTTATTGACAAGAATGATGTTAATACTACAGTAGAACCAAGAAAAGGTAAGGCCTTGAGACAATCGTTAATGAAATCTATTTTAAAGAGACGAGGCGATCAATATTTACCAATATTTTTCAGGCAGAGTATCAATTTTTACTTCAGGGAGCGAAAATTTGCATTTAGTTGAAAAAGTGAGATCTGGTACTCGTTACGCCTTGACGGTATCTTTCACATGTGATAGGTATGCCGCAATATCTGATCTGCTCTTTACCGAGACGTAAATTAAGATTTTTTTCAGTAACAATTTTTTTATTTACACATAATATAGAAAGTGTAATGTCGATGATATTTGTATTTACAAATTGTTAATGCACAACTGAATTGTATTGTAAAGGAAAATAGGTAAAACATACTGTTTTAGTATAAATTTGTTTATGAAAATTTATCTGAAGAATGTAGAATGTTAATATATTAGATATAAATTTTTGTTATAAAATGTGTATAATGTCTACTATGTATTTTTTATTTTTAAAAATACAATTATTTATAATATGTAAGCTACAGACACGTGTTAAGTCACGTGTTAAGGTTAAATTTGAGAAAAATACATTTTAATTAAATATTTTAATATGTGGGTTATGTGCAAATGCCAAAAAAAAGACAGGTGTGCATCGTTTTGTCGAAGAACGTATTTCATTGTTGACACCAATGCGGGCTGCTTCCACGGTCTTTCCAGTTCTCAGAATGAAAAGGCTAGAGTAGCGCAGCGAAGTCTCTCCAAGACCAATTTATACGGACGGCCTCATGGACTCCTCCACTGTAGACCATCAGTCTCTCTCAAGCACGATATTTAGCTGCTTGAAACTCTCGACGCAAAATCCGTTTAACTATCCTATAGTCCTCCTCCTCATTTGCCTTTCGGCCTTGACCATCTGCGCCTGGAGACAAAATAAACTCGATGAGTCTCAGCGAGACAGAGTCACTCCACCAGTAAGCCCAGCAAATACCAGGACGCGGATTCAGCCGCCGAGCAGCGAAGTTACAGGCTTCATACATGAAATTCTTCAAATGTTTAGTTAACGAATCAGCCGAATCAATCAAAGTCAAAACCGGAAGAACCAAACTTAATGGCTCAACCGATCTAATGTTCCACCCAGGTCTTGAAGGTCATTTCGAACGCGAAACGGTGAATTGTGAATAGCATGTAGCGATAGTCTGATAGGTTTTTGATATCACCAAGGATCGTCGTTACACCATTCCTGAATGCCACGAGCAAGGAATGCAGAGGATCGCGTTAAATCAATGACGGTGGATCTCTGAAGGTGTATGTACACGTAAATACCATGCCAATATTATGCAGATCAAGGCTCGCCGACCAATTCTGGATGATGCAATGATTAGTGAGGGCACGACCCCATAAAAATATCAAGTAATTTGAGCATTGCAAGCTCTATACTAAAGTAAATGCGCCTATTGTTCTGACTTATTAGTCGTCAAGAGAGAGAGGTGCTTTTTGTGGAATCTTTTCTTTCTAGCAGTATTAAATTACTTACCAGAAACATCAGTAATATGGTCATCGTTAATAGGTAAAACTGAAAGAATCGATACTTGAACTGTTTGATTCGTTGTAGATGACGTGCAACAATTTTATGCTTTCGAATTATAAATAAAGCGACTACTAATACAATAGTCGTACACGCATAATAATAGTTTAATTGAGAATTTATAGTGACAAAGAATGCCACTGTTAATAGAAATTAAATAATAGATCTTTAATTAGTGAACTTTCAAAATGGTAACAAACATTTTTACACAACGCTAAAATAAGTCTTTAAACTTAAAAATTAAAAAAAATTGTATTTTATTCCAATAAACGATAACGTACAATTATACGAGTACTATACGTACAACTATCCCAAGAAGCTATATTTTAGTTTTATCCTAGGGAATATTTCATCCCTTACGATTCAACTGTTTCCAAACATAATTTTAACTTACAATATTAAAGTATAATATAATGAAATATATACGAAAGAATCGTGTTATATATATATATATATATATATATATATATAAAATCACGTCAATACAGCATAGAATTTTTCAGTTATATCGCAACGGTATCATAGTATATCATATTTGCAATATTACGGTATATTGTGCTACATAATCATTCTCAAATATAATAGAACTTGTAACACGAATGCTCTTAAATTCTACACTTGCAAGAGACTTGAGATTTTCTTTGCACTTTCTCCCAGCAATATCGTCCTATGATTACCGGTCACCTCTTCTACTCTTACGGGTTCTGTGCAAATCTGAAAAATAATAAAAGGTAAAGTGGGCATCTTTTTGAATATACACGATTAAAATCTATATGAGTAGTAAGGAGTTAAAATAAAATTAATTGCCTTTAAACAAAGTTCATATTTACTGATAATATAAAATTTTTGAATCAAGTCTATGCGATTAATTTTTATTTTTAGAGGCGCATATGCACGTTGTAGATATTATATTGTACATATACCAATATTTTAAAATTGTTCAATTAACCGGATTTTAATTTTTGGAGATAGCTATTATCTTACAAGATGCTTGACGTATTTAATTAAAAGTATATTAAAGCATTAAAGTGATTATTTAATTTCAAACTTATAATTTATAACACTGCAACCAGTGTTACAAATTACAAAAAGAAAAACAACATTGGGACTATTGAAGAAGTTTAATAAATCAGAGGGAACACAAAGAAGATAAATCTCTCACACTTGATAAATCGTAATCTTTTTCTAAAGATACAAAGGTCTCTGTAGCTTTAATCAATGTGACCGATCCTTTGATCTTTTTAGTAGGATTATAGTTTAGAGCAGCTGCTACTTTTTTGAATAAAAGATATCCAGCGATCTTTAGATCATCCTGTGCAAATGGCGTGTCGCCTATCACTTCTATCATCTTGTTAAACATCTCCACATCTGATTTACTCTGTTTCAAGATATTATACGCCTGAAATAAAACAATGCAGATTGTAAAACAGTTATACCTATACGAAGATAACGATTGATAACAAAAAATGAAGATGTGTAAACATACGAAAATAATCTTAACATACAACTCTTAATTACAAGTCAGCTATTCTGCTAAGGCTCTTAAAACAGTACATTTAAGACTATTAAACAATACATTAAGACTAATTAAATTACATAAAAATAAATTATAATATAATATCGGCTTTTGAATGTCGTCTAGTCATTCTCCTATTGTGCTTGCAGATTACTAATAAAGTAATTGCAACTTTGTGCTGTTACAACGCTATTTAGACAATACCGCCTTCATGTGAGATGTTGCAGAGATTGTACATTGATAGCACGATGTGCTGAGCACAACATGCTGGTATGCTCGGCTATTGAAGTAAATTTTATATACAGCATACTTATCAAATATTGCTTAACTCGCTCGATTTCATCACTTATTCCTAATATTATCCTAACTTATTAACAGCTAATTAAGATTTTTTAATGTGCTTAACGTTTTTGGAGGTAGCATAAATGATTACTATGAAATACTTGTCAAATTTCAAAGAGATAAAAAGAGTTAATCATTTATGTAAATAATAATCACCTTGTTATGTTATAATAATTTAATTTCGTTTACACTTTAAACAGGTACCATATGTGTTTTGAAAATGTTTTATTATTCGTGCTTTTCCTTACCTTCTTACTTCATGGTAAAAGACGACAGATAGAATGAATCAGTCCATGAAACTTACGTGTATGAAACTGATGGTATTGTTAAATTGTATGCTGAAATATGCCAGTGCTTTCATACAGATGTTGGAAATAATATCCTCTTCCAAGTTATCCAGTTTGCCGATCCTTTTACTATGCTGTTGCACAAATGCCAGTGAACCATCAATTAGAGTCAGAACAACCTTTTCTCCAGCAGATTCCAATTGCAGAGTCATTTCGATAGCAACGCTAGTTCCAAACGAGTATCCTGCCAAATGGTATGGTCCTTTTTTCTGAATTTTTCGAATGGTATTGACATAGAATTCTGCCAATTCCGACAGCGTTTCATGAGGCGCCTGCTCAATACTCTGCAGACCCCATAACGGCCTCTCGAGTTCACTGGCCACATATTCTAGCGATTTAACGAGACCTTCGATACCATGGACGATGAACAACGGCGGTCCGTTGGAATTCTTTGTTTTCAAGCGAACGAGCACTTCTTTAGGCAGTACCTCGTTGCTAGGCCACTGCATCAGTAACATGTCGGGCGATACATTTGTGTCTACAGTAGTGGACGCGTCCACAGAAAGAGGTTGCTGCTCTTTTCTTATCTCACCACTTGTCGAAGATAATTCTTGCAGTTTGGCAAAAGTTAAGACACGAATATCTTGGACCAACAGCAGGATGTTATAGTTCCTCTCGAGAGTCTGTTTGATTTCTGTACCCATCAGCGAGTCCATACCCAAGTCGGCCAAATTATCGTTGGGATTAATCGAATTAACATCTTTAACGCCTAGAATATTGGCAACAGCTGCGATTAAACCAGTTTTGTTGCCCTCGTCGGATTTATGCTTTTTGGCTAACACCGACGAAGATAGCACTGGATGCAGTTGTTGAAGGAATATATCCATCGTCATGAGACAACTTGATATGTCCTGTGGTACAGTACCGCACACCACAGTGTCGTCTCCCATCGTTTCTAAAGAAATGACAATATGGTAATAAAGAAAATGCAATTATGAAATGTACAAAGTATTCAAACCGTAAATCTAGAAATAGTATGCAAAATGTGCGTATGTATGTACATTTATAATACAGCAGTAATATTGTCTCACATAATCGTGTTTAAAAGGGCACAAACTTAAAGGCATGAGTCAAGATTGAGTTTACAAATCAAATAAAAAGTAAGTAAAGATTTGGAAAAGTTTCGATTCGTTGATTCTGATCTTCTAAAAACGTTACATGTATTACCGATTAGTATGCCAACATCATTGATGGCACCCCACTGGATGGCGAGACCGGGTAAACCATTTGCCTGCCTCTCTTCCATCAGTCTCTCCATGGTCGAGTTCGCGAAACCGTAGTTGGTTTGACCTATATTACCGCGACCGCACGATATGGACGAGAACACCACAAAGTAATCTAACGATGGACAGAGCTTCCTTGATACCCTATCTAAATTTCTTGTTACATCGACTTTCGGCAAAATGACCGTTTTAAAATCGGCCTCCTCCAGATTTTCGATCAGCGCATCGCGTAGTACAGCTGCCAGATTGAATATACCTCCTACTGGACCCAGCCGGTTACATTCTTGGATTAAGTGCTCGGCACCCGATAACGTCGTAGCATCCGACGTAGAGATTACGACTTTTACGCCGCTCTCGCGCCAGCGACGCACACACAATGCCTGGTAACCGGTGCGAATACCTGAGCGCGATACGAGAATGATAAATTTGGCGCCGCGGGCGATCATCCAATTGGCTAATTCTAAACCGAATCCACCGAGACCGCCGACCAAGACGTACGATTTTTCCGGATTTAAGTAAGTACGTGGGATAGCGGATACTGTCTTCAGCGCTGGCAATACACGTTTCTTTGGTTCTT